GATCATGAGCTGCTCCAAGCCTTCTCCATACTTCTTTCTTCCCGTCATTCTAGTACAGGTTGATCTTAATTTCAGCCGCTTTTCCAGAAGTGGTCTGGCTTTTTTAGATGTTTTTTGGCAAAGTCTAATATGGTCTTGTTTGCACCTTGTGGTGAAGCCTCTGTATCTGCTCTGGTGAAGTCTCCTCTTAATTGTAGACTTTGACAGTGACACGTCTACCTCCTGGAGAGTGTTCTTCTTTTGGCTGGATGTTGTGAAGGGGTTTTTCTTTACCATGGAGAGGATCCTCCGATCATCCACCACTGTTGTTCTTCGTGGACATTCAGGCCTTTTTATGTTTCTGAGCTCACCAGTGTGTTCTTTTTTCTCAGATTGTACCAGACTGTTGATTTGGCCACTTCTAATGTTCCTGCTATCTCTCTGATGGATTTGTTTTGATTTCGAAGCCTAACAATTGTCTGTTTCACTTGTATGGACAGCTCATTTGGTTTCGTTGTGAAAGCAAAACTACTTTGTTTGGCCTTCCAAAAGAGGACACGACTAGAAATCAGTGGTTAAGTTGTATTTACAACACTGTTCCAGAACAGTTCAACCCAAATATTCAGATGTGTGCAGCACATTTTATGGAGGACTGTTTCCTGATCCTGGTAGAGTAGACTACCAATGCCGGCTGTTCTTACTCACAGACTGTAAGTATGTTTTTCATATTTAAAGGATTTGGCACTGACGATTCAAACACGAGTTTTGAGCAGTGTAGAGTAGGGCTTGTTGTTTGTCATTTCTCCCATCACAAATGCAGACATGGTTTTATGTTTATGCGGCGCGTATAAGTCTTATAGACAGTATAAGTCATTATAATCCGTAATTATGTCCCCACTGGATGCAACAAATGCCTCGTTTATAACGGGTTTTAATATTTTTGTCTCGTCGCTCCGGCCTGACAGGGCATCACAGTATGGTAAGGGGCGTAACATTTCTGCCACACGCTTGAGGTATTCGAACAATCACAGCACACCTCGCTTTTCAGACCGATGAGCTTTGTAAAAATCGACGCGTTTCAGAAAGGCAGGGCATAGAGGAGAAACAATAATGTACAGGATGTGGAAAATAATGTGTTTTTTGAACCTTAATCCGCATAAACATTTCATTACACCAAATACACAAAATAATGTTATTTTTAGCAACATCATATGACCCCTTTAAAGAGCTGTAGTTCCTAAACCTTTCCTCCAAATTTTGATGAGAATACCCTCAAATTAAAGCTCAGAGCGTGCACTTTAAGCTCATATTCATTATATAAATGTAACTTGAATAGGGTTGCAAAAAGCTGGAAAATTTCCAGTAAATTTCGGAAATATTTCAGGGATTTTTGGAAACTTTCCGGAAATTTACCGCAAATTGTCCACCCCTTTGCAAACCTAAACTTGAATATGTTTTGGTCAGTAGCTAAAATAATAAAAATTGTGCCTGTGTACAAAATATATATGGACCTGACTGTATAATCTATTAAAATTTCTGGGTTTTGAGTATTCAATGTTTCTATTCTGGCCCAGAATCTCAAATTTGGCACAAACCTTACATTGGGTGGTGGTCTAACTTGTTAAGTACAGTATATGTTATTAAACAACAAATAGCTCTGTTTCTTACAATAACACACCAAGGGGAGACTGCGCTCATTGCATTTCCTGTTTTTTTTTCTGTTTTCCTTAGTTTTACTGTATTTTTCTCCTAATTTGTGTTAGTCATGGAGTTGAGAATTATTTAAGTTTTACTTTTAGATAAGATTTATTTTTAGTAAAGTTTCTCAATAATTTCAAGGGATAACACTAGAGGAGAGAGAGAGAAAAAAGGTTTGTTATTTGTAAAGCCCCTAAGTTTGAATTATGATACAACAGAGCATAGATATTTGAACCTGTGTGTTCCTTTAAATCTTGATTGAGAGCATAATACAGAATAGTTGCAAGCAAGAAAGCAAGCGAGCAAATAAATAAATACATATTGAACAAAGGGAAAGTGAGCAATTAAAAATGTATTATGTTATTATTTATTTGGTTATTTCTTAGTAGTTTACATACAGTCATGTCACCTTGAATAAGCAAACATACAAACAAACCAACTAATAAATAAATAAGTTAATATACATCTAGGTGTAGTGTGGCAATCGAAAAGCTGGTCTGTGTTTAGTCTCTTAAATAACCAACCAAAGTATGTTGATTTCTTACTTTCAAGACAAATCAATGGGGGCCTTTTCACTGGCAGTCATTGCTCATAAGTCCTTGCCCATTATAAAATATTTTATTTGAACCTATAAAACCACTGAGAGAGAAAAAGATGCAATAAAAGAGGAAATCAGGAAGGAGGTACAGTGAATATAAAAGTCTCATAATTTACAGGTATTTGTCAAAAGTATAAAAAATAAAACTGAGTGCAATTACTTTTTGTTTGCTTGTTTTGTAGTCAGTGTAATGATAATAAATACCAAAATACAAATGATCAGCATCAGCAATACTAACTGTAGCTGATTAACCTCCTGATGAAAAGAAGTGTGTTCTGACATCCTCATCAGTGGATATAATCAACAGAGCATTTAGCTGTGATAAAATCCACAATGCTATGATGTAAAACACTTGTCGTGTAGCTCCCTTAGTGAACTGTTATTTTTTATTCACTATATACAGTGGAGTTCGTAATGTCAGATACCAGAGGGAAAATCTGGGATTTTTAATTACATGCTTTGTTTTTACCAGAGAATGTAAAACGCTTGCATGTGGCTGTCTCAGTACAGAGCGGCTGCGTATATTATGAATAATCCCACTTATGACATTGGGTGCCGGGAACGGCGAAATACTAGTTTAAAGCATGCCACAAAGTTGACCTAGCCATTACAGCAATTAAAGCCATCCAACCATTAAAGTTTGACCTAACTTGAGTTCACTGATTGCAGAAAGGGATGCTTATGTTTAAAATACAGCAACTAGGACATCTGGAGAGAATCATCCCTGTGCATCACCATAGACAGTCAACAGCATGCAAATTACTAGCATATTGGCTGTTTATTAGCACTTATAAAGCACATATTAATGCCTTATTCTGCATGGCCATATTTTAGATCCCTTAGCCCTACCCCATAAACTTAACAACTACCCTACTAACTAGTAATAAGCAGCAGATTGGGTGTTTATTGAGAGAAAACTCTCAGTTAATGGTGAATATGTATTCCCTAATCTAAAATCTTTCCAAATTGTTTTTGTAGAATTCTTTTTTTTGTGAGGCATTTGTTTTGGGAAAATTAATAGAAAAACAACACAATAATGGTTTGGAAAGATATGTGGATTAAATAAATACCTTTTTGAGTGAACTAATCCTTTAGACATGCCGCAGTGTTACCAATAAACCATCAACAGGTAAGACTGCTGTTACTGCACATTTACACACATTTACTTCACATTTACCCACCCATTTCCTCTTCCAGAGCACTAAGCAGACTGTGTGGCACGAGATCATTGCTCTTTCTGACTGCACATTTGACTAGCCCGGCAGAGATTACTTTGGGACTATTTGTTTGCCCTGCCAACTGCAGACATTTTTATTACTGTTGCAATTCTGTTTGGTGATGCTACTGATGTAGAAATGAACGCCGAAAAGTTAAGACCCAACCACAGTCACTGCCGCTGAAATAAGCCCGAGAAAACTGAATAATTCAAACTCCTGAAAGCTTTACCGAGTGATTACGAGCAAGGTTTTAGAACACACTAAAAAGAATATGCCTTTTGTTTATTTACACACAACTATAATAGAGCATGGGTTTGTTTGTCAAGTCCCATAGTATTAGCACATGAAAATGTTTTAGAGTATGCAAACATGAACGAGTCAGATGAGTAATGAATGAATGGAGAAAGTAATAAGCATAATAATTCATGGAATTAATAATACATTTTTGCTCAGTCATTTAATATGAAAGAATAGTAAACCTCAAGGCTTCATGCGTTCTCAAGCTCTCAGTTTATTTTAGTGGAAGGATGAAAAGTCTCTGCTTCGGTCAAATTATGCACAGTCACAGTGTCATCCATTGTATATACACTGAATATCAATGAGGCTGTTGTTTTCTTCCATTCTTTGTTACATAAAGTACAATACAAGCACTGTATTTACAGTATGATAACATGACAAACAAATGTTCTTCTAAATCATCATCAACAACAACAACTAAGAATCCTGGATGCTGTATTGCAGATAGACTGTTTTAATGCTACGTTCAGAAAGACAGAATTTCTGACTTCTTGGAAAGTGCACCAAGTGCACTCTTGTGCTCCAGAGAAGAGCTTGGGTTTTGAAAGACACAATATATGAAAAACAGATCATTTTTGGTTGAAATAATGACTAATAATTAAATAATGAATTCTTATAATAAAATACACTGCATCAGCAAATAATATACACTGCATCAGAGTTTGCTCAGTATATAATATGTTTAAAAGGTTTGTGAATACAGCTTTGTAAAAAATGGTAACTGATCTCAATCAATTCTGTGTGTGTGTATACAGTATGTACTGTATATCCCAGATCCAATCTGGGATGCAACACATTCTAACAGAGTAATGTGCCGCAGTATAATAAATAATGTTATATCTTTCAACTGCCTATCTTTTACAAAACAAGAACTCAGAATAAATCACTAAAATTGCTTTGTGGTCCAGTGAACTATCAGATGACAATACAGACCTTATGTTTGGCAAACTACACTAGTATTAAGCAATACATCATGTATGCAATTTCCCACAAACCTGTTTACAACCCAAGTTTCTTAAAGGCTGTCCACAGTCTATCTTTAACTTCACAACTGAACTCCATTTTTTGGAAATGACATGAACTAAGTTTAGCTTTCCAATCATAAAGGAAATCAGATGTCTGTGAGATTTCTGTGAGAATCAGAAACCACGTACCAACAATATTCTCTATGCTACAATGTAAAAGAGGCAACACATGTATTTTTTAATTACCTTTCTTGATCTTGCGATGGAAGTTAATGGCGTCCACAGATGCGGTCACAATGTTGGTCTTGCAATGACGAGCAGCAACAATCCCTGCCACCTCATCCATCAGCTTCATGGTCACACCTGAGGATGACAGATATCAGGGCAATTTACTAACTGACTTACAATCAGACTGAGAATATTTATATCAGTCAAATTTACCCTGAAGCATCAGAGTAAAAACCATTCAGAAGTCATAAACTGTTTGTCCTTCTGAAAGAATATGCAAAGGAACTTGTGATAATAAGAGTCGTGATCTCCTGCTGACGGTGCGTATATAACCATTTCATTACCATCCTTCATTATCAGTGCTGTTTTGGCTGATATGGCATTGCTATCTTCCCAAATAAATACCCATTTGGCAGTGAAATGCAAAACCTGATGTCATATGTGTAACGTACCGGAGCGAGGAACGAGGAGTAAACTTCCAACGAACAGGCTTCATTTGACATCAAAGGAACCAGGAACACACACGTAGCGGGGAGAGACGACATTCAATAACAGACAACGGAACACTGAATAGGACTCACTTTAAATACATAGGACTAGAGGAGGGGATGACGGGAAAGACCTGGAACTAATGAAACAATTAACATGGGAGAAAACTGGGTCATGGAGCACACGTGGGGGAGGAAAAACACACAGATAGAGTCCAGGGGTGTGACATATAATCCCCCTCCCGGAAGGTGCGTCCTCGCACCGTAGAACAATGGGGGGGACGGGTGGGAACATGGGAGGAGGCTCGGCAGGAGGACAGACTCCCGGGAGGGGGCCGGCAGACAGAGTCCAGGGAGGTGACGATGGAGGGAGGAGCCAGGGAGGCGACAGGAAGGACTTGGAGCAGGAGGGGCCAAGCAGGACCCAGGCCACAGCCATGATTGCGACCCACGGTGAAGCCGATGGAGGGAGGAGCCATGGAGGAGGAATGGCCGCCGACTCCAGGGGGCCGACCAATGTCGGCGGAGCAGGTGGCGGAGGAGCCCGAGGCGGAGACGGAGAGCCAATGAGCCAAGGCGAGAGGGAGGATCCCTGCCGACTGATGCGGAGGCGTGGATCCGAAAGGCAGCGGTTGAGCCGGAGCGACAGAGGACTGAGGAGGAGCCGAAGGGATGAAGGAGCCTGACGGAGCCGGAGGGGCGAAGGAACGAGGTGCAGACGGAGTGGAGTCCCGAGGCGAAGGATGGTCGACGCCAGACCAAGGTGGAGCCGAAGGGACGAGGGAGCCCGGCGGAGCTAGTGGACTGTCGGACCACGGCAGAGAGGAGAGAGCTAGGAGCCATGGTGGAGCTGACGGGTCCATGGGCCGAGGCGGAGTCTGGGGCTTAGAGGCTGGAGGCAGAGTCAAGGGATACTCCAGCTCCAGTGACGCTGGAGGATGGCAGTCCCGCGGAGCTCGCACCATGCTGATGGTGGTCTGAGGGCGATCAGAGGGGCTGCCAGACGACAGCGGGTGGGTGGGCAGAAATTTGTGAGCCTCCGGGCTTAACTTGGGACCAGAAGCCCTCTCAGGGCTGGACGTGGGAACAGGAGCCTTCTCTGGGCTAGACCTAGGAACAAGAACTTTCTCTGGGCTAGACATGGGAACAGAAACTTTCTCTGGGCTAAACTCAGGAACTGGAGCCCTCTCTGGGATAAACTCGGGGACTAGAGCCCTCTCAGGGTTACACTCGGAGACAGGGCTGAACGTGGCAACTGGGCTGACAAAGGGCTATGAGGAAGGAAGGAGGAGAGGGGGTAAGTCGACTGTTTCCCAGTCTATAAGGTCCCCTTCCACTCTCTCTCTCTGTCCGCGGCATTCTCCCTCGTGGCGGGCTCTGTTGCCAGCTCTCGCACCCTGACTGACGTCACTTGCAGCTCCGGCTCCGTGGCGATCCGTTGCTCTGTCGCTCCATGCGGCAATGGCTCATCGGCTACAGCGAGCTCGGGCTCTCCATCAGCGGTGGGCTTGGGCATGCGCTCCACGCTGTGGGGAGATGGTGGGCTGGGTACTGGGTCCGGGGTGGCACTCGCCAGTGTCTCGCCAGTTTCCACTCAGGTGAAATTCGCTCAAGGGCCTTCCTCGGATGACGGCGCTCTGTACGTGGAGTTTAAACGGGCATCATAGAACGCATAGAGCGCGTCGACCGGGTAGGTGGAGAGGTTGGCGAGGACCAGGAACAGTCTGGTGTGTCCCTCAAGCGATTTTTCCCCCTGCTCCAGCAGGAGGAGGAGGTATTCAGTGCGAGGGGATTCATAAGGGCACAACAGAAACAAAAAACACTGGGTAAAACACGGAAAACAAAAACGGAGGGAAGACACGGAGGTTACTGTTTTGGTCCGGTATCCTATCACGTACTGCTTCTGTGAGGAGCACGGAGCGAGGAACGAGGAGACGAGGAGTAAACTTCCAACGAACAGACTTTATTTGACGTCAAAGGAACCAGGAACACACATGTAGTGGGGAGACGACATTCAATACCAACGGAACACTGAATAGGACTTACTTTAAATAAACAGGACTAGAGGAGGGGATGACGAGAAACACCTGGAACTAATTAAACAATTAACATGGGAGAAAACTGGGTCATGGAGCATGTGGGGGAGGAAAAACATACAGATAGAGTCCAGGGGCGTGACAATATGACAGAAAATTACATTAAAGCTCAAATGATGCAGCATGATTACTGCTTAGTAAACACTGTAACAATAATAATATCAATTGCATAGCACGCGGCTAGAACAAAGTTCAGTGCTTCATGAATTATACATCTCTCTGGCAGAACAGGTTACCATCAGTCTCAGGAGAATCAGACCCCTTGTTCTGAATCACCATATCTGTATGACTTGGAAATTTCACTATTTCACTGTTCAAACCCATTGCAATAGGTTTGTGTGAGAAACATAGATAAGTTGATAAATTGTTATTCTTTCATAATCGTCTAATTGGCTGTAGCTCTGAAATATCATTTAGGTTGCATTCAGATTCAAAAATGGCTTGTTGACGCACCATTGCACAACACTTCTTCCAAGTGCTGTACAGGAAGGTGACATGCAAGTCTGAATGTGGATTGTGGTGAATAACATTTGAGAGCTGCAATGAAGAGGGAGGATTGTCAATTAAAATTCTATAATTTTATCCCTTTGTGTGAAGACTCTACAGAATTTCTAGATGAGAGCAAATAATGCCAGAATTCTAATTTTTGCGTGAACTGTTGCTTTGAAGTCGATGATGTATCTTGCACTGAATATACAATATAATGTTTTAATAATTTTCAACAAAATATATGGTGATTCGAGTTACACCAGTTTTTATGGTTATTCAAGTATTGCATAGTTATTCACCCCAAATGTTCAAACATGCTAAAAAAATAATGAACATAATAAAATAAATAAATCTGACTGTTGCAAAGTATTGTGAGATTGTCTTTTCCTCAAAAATACATGCAGTGCTGCCTTAGAATTTTGCTAAATTCTATAATGTATCAACCAACATGCCTAATAAAATCGCTGAGCTAATATTTTACTAACTGCTGAGAAGCTGTAATGGTATGAACAGTCCGCTTATGGAAGTCACTAGGTGTAAGATTGCTAAATACAGCCACTAACTCGGAAAATATATGGAAGATACTGCTGCTGCCAAGCTTTGAAAAATATCTGGCCTGAGGTAAATCATCTGAACAGAGATGAATGGAAGCAGACTGTATGTGATATAAAGGCCTTTAATGACCATTTCCATTGTTCCAGGACCTGAGGGATAAAGGGGTCACATCATTGAAAACATGATTTCCATTGCTTTTTTGGAATAAAGAGTTCAGTGTACTATGTGGACTTTTAAAAAAAAAAAATTATGTCATGCTAAACATAAAATGTATCAAATAATGTGACTTAAGTATTTTATGTATGTCAGTAGTATATCATGGGAACAGCACACAAATGTTTCCTTAGAATGACCTTTGTAATGACCCTTAGATCATTGTAAGGACTTTAGATCAATGACAATCAATCAGATCAGGAAAAAATTGTTGACATAACTAATATTGTTGTAAAAAAATATTTTCATCAAAGCATTATAACCCTATACAGTAGAAAACTGAGAGAGTTAAGTATTGTAAGCTCAGTGTTAAGAAGATTAATTTAGCAGAGGGTCAGCAGATAGCACAGATATAGAACAGAATGACACTCCTTGGAATATTTCTATACCAAGATGACGTGCAATTCACAGCACCAGTGCATGTTTTGTAAGCTCCCTTGACACCAAACAGGCAGAGACTTGAATACTCTGGATCACTGTATGAGCTGGTTTTAGCGATGGACCCTGGGGACTCTCATCTCCAAGTGAGATTCCCTCAATTTACACATGGCACTGAAAGCGCACTCCACCACAAAAACTCTCTTGACAATTTGTGGCAAAGCTTCTTCACAAATCTCAGCTAGTGAGAAAGCGTCATCTCTGGATGTGCAGTGGTGTAAAAATATGGGAGAAGCATGAAATGGCTGCTGAGGTTTTGCACAAGTGTCATAAAAGGGGCCATTTTGAACTTTTTTTTGTCAGGCAAGAGTCTCCTTTTGCAAGCTTTCACACCTGATCCAAGTGTGGTTTAACACTGTCAACCTTGTCTACCCTAAGTTACAAACTATTCATGTTTGTTTTTTTCATCTGACACAAATCTATAGTGGATATAAAAAGTCTACAAGACCCCTATTAAAATTTCAACTTTTATCAGATGTAAACAATTAATCCAAGTAAAATAAATTTTCATCTTAAAAAGGTTTAATTTTAACAGGTGTGTAGTCCATTGTATGATCATTCACTGGTTTAAACTGATCTAGATGGTTTACTGGTACAGTATATGCTCTTGACCAGCAAAACTTGGTCTTTCTAGTGAACAAGCATGGTCTTTCTAGTGAACCTGGTCTTGCTAAGTTAGCTAAAAATCCTGCTGGGGATACCAGCCCACTGGCATAACATTCTGAGCTATCAGCATCCACTCTACAATATATGCAGGTTGCCTCAAATCACCTTAGGGCCTAGTATTAAGATGCATTTTCTGTGGCGCGCACAGAGACATTTGATAAGTGCAAAAACACGATACGTGGCTTATGAG